ACCAGGGCCTGTGACCGCAAGGCCTCGACCAGTCGATCAAGGCGCCCAGCCCGGCCCACCCCCCCCCCCCATTCCCTCCATCCCCGAGAAGCCCCACTATCTACCTCAAGTGAAAATGGAGGTAGTGTCGGCTTCCCGCAGATGGACAGAAGTCCCACAGCTTAGCTCCACTTCCAGCGATTCCGGAAGTGCACTGGCTGCTCTCCCGGGCGTACTGCGGGAGGGGGCATCAGCTCCGGAGGAGGAGGAGCACGGCAACTTCCCTGCACCGCACAGGAGGGGTGAGTCAGGCCCGGGGCAGGCACGTGCGGGCTTTCCCTGCGCAAGTAGGAATAAGAGATCCTCCGGAATAGGGCTTTATTCTGGAGGATCGTGCCAGTCTGGACGCTCTTTTCCGGCTTTTCCCCAAGCTGGAAAAAAAGCGGCCATGTTTATTTAAATCCTGCGGGGGATATTTAAATCCCCCGCGCATTTCCCTATTCTGACTTCTCTCATTTCCGTAGCTATTACGGGTTATGTGGCCAGTGTAGACACAGCCCAGGAGTTTTTCAGGATTCTGGAGATATCCCAGAAAAACTCTTCTGCATCCAGGTATGCATTTGTTCTTCCACTTCTTTTAGTGGAAGAGCAAACATGGTCTTTCAGTCACCCCTATATTCCTCTTTCCATGAGGAATAAGGGGGCTTCCAAAAGAAGGGGTTTTTCTGACATTTGGTCCAGTCTAGACAGGCCAAATGTTGGAAAAACCTCTTCCTACAGAAGAATTTGGGGGGAAAAAAGCAGCAGCATAAGGATTGGGGATAGCAAGTGATGGAGAGGAGGAGAATAGAGAGGACGGAGCTTCAAGGAAGGGGCGGGGCGGTAGATCTTGGCTTGTTCTGTCATTTAAAAAGTGATCTTGGGTGTGAAAAGGTTGGAGACCACTGGTGTAGGCCTAGCCTCAGAGGCCTGGTAGAGGAAGCATTACTTCTCTTGTAGAGGTACCTTTCCAGCAGCTGGTTAGGTAGAAATGTACATTTTCAGAAAAGATTTCTTGTTTAGGACTTGTCTGCGTTTTTGAAAATTATTTCAGATTAAGGTAGAGTGTGCATTTAAAGTAATTTAGCTCGTTCTGAATAACTCCATATGTTGGCAGTCTCATTGTGGAATAAGAGTTCATTTTTCCTGTCACTTACTCTGCTTTTCAATAATGGAATAACTGTATGTGTACACAAGTCCATTAGCTGCTAGAGAAATATGTAGCATGTATCAATGTATCAGAAGTGTGAGATTTTTCAAGGCTGGGAAGTTTACCATGAATGAAGATGTAAATAAACAGATTTCTACCCTGCCTAAACCTGTGAGAGTCCCTCTCTTTCCCCTTTGAATATTATAGGATTGGATGAAGAGAAAACATATATAGGAAGAGTAGAGAATATCCTCAAAGCCAATTTGTAAATAGAAGATGTAAATAAACAGATTTCTACCCTCCCTAAGCCTGTGAGAGTCCCTCCCTTCCCCCTTTGAATATTATAGGATTGGATGAAGAGAAAACATATATAGGAAGAGTAGAGAATATCCTCAAAGCCAATTCGTAAATAAAGTTTCTTTGCATCTTCTCTCTCTCTCTCTCTCTCTCTCTCTCGCTCTCAAATAATTGACAATCTTCTGACAGGGGACTGGACTTGATGACCTCTCGAGGTCCTGTCCTAGTGTTCTATGATTCTATATTTGAGCCTCACCTTCCACAAGCTTCCCTTTGTGGATAGCATACACACAAATGGAGAGCAGCTTGACCTCTCGAGGTCCTGTCCTAGTGTTCTATGATTCTATATTTGAGCCTCACCTCCCACAAGCCTCCCTTTGTGCATAGCATACACACAAATGGAGAGCAGCGTAATGTCTATAGTTACAATGTTTGACCTTTTTTTTTTTTAATTGCTCTAGCTTCTTGGATAGCATTTCTCTGTATTCCTTGTGATCTCACTTGAGCTATTTTTTAGAGAATTGTCTGTCTTCTCATCTGCACTAAGCACATCTGGTACTTAAGTTTTTAAGAAAGGTCTTTCTTCCTAAACAATCCCTCTTCCCACTCCTGTTCTCTTAACTTTGTCAAGTGTATCAAAATTGCTGCCCAAAAGTTTCATGCAGTATTCCCAAGTAAGGCCTAACCAATGTTGGATGGAGCAGTCTAGCTACCTGATTTGCTTTTGTGTTGTGTTCCTTTAGCATTTCTGATTTTGTTACCATTTCATTATTTGTGCATATTATGTTCATCATTCCTGTCTTTCTGTACTTGCTAACAGCTATTACCCAATTTTATATTTGGGTATTCTTTATGTAAACCACTTTATAGTTACCTTTATTGAATGTAATAGATTTAATCTTTTTCCAGATGGCCCAAATCATACGCATTTTAATTGTTTCTTCTGTAATATTTATGATCCTTCTACTTGTTGCATCCCCCTCTTCCTAATCATGAATGAAAAGAGGGGTAGAATTACTTTGAAAACCTACATTAAAGTAAGTATATGGAACCCATGTGGAGTATCTGTTGACAGCACTTCCCACATTAACACTAAGCATTAATGTGTGTAGTGGCATTTTAGCCACATTGTATCTCTGATATCCTGGGATCGAGGTGGTTGAGGTAATACTTAGTTATTGAAGCAACCTCTGTTGGTGAGAAAAACACCTGAAATGTTTATGCAAGATCTATGTGATCTTGAAAGCTTGTGTCTCTCACTAACGGAAGTTGGCCTCGTAAAAGATATTACCTCACACAGCTTTGCTTGAATACCATTTATGCATAGTATCATCCTTATAGAAGTCTTGTCTAATCCACCCATGATGATGTTGGATACCTCTATGAGTTCATTGAGCTACATTGTGTACGCTGCATTTTCTTTATCCTCATTATGTAAAGTGAAAAAACTCGTTCAGCTTGGGTTTTTTTCTGACAAACTCATCCTACCTTGTACTGGTCATTTAATTTTTCTCTAGGCATTTACAGTCTTATTGCTTTATCAATTATACTAACGGAACAGATATCAAAATCCAGTTTGCTGAACTGTTAATTTCTTGCAAATCACCTTCTCTTCCTTGGTTCTGTGCTTTGCCCTTCAGCAAACTTTTTTTTCATGCACTTAGTGTACCCTTTGAATGTTGCTATCTTTTTTTAATCAAAAATGTGCTATTTATTTTCCTCAGAAAAATGCAGTAATTATACAAAACAGCAGTTCTTCTAAGTCTGGATTTTTAATTTGTCACTCAAAACGTTTAAATTGTTGAGCAGCAATAGACACGTTGTTGTTTTTTTCAGGGAAGAAGAAGGAGAATAA